GCGCAGTTCTCCAAGGAGCGATAGCACGCTCAAACACTAAGTAGGCCGAAACTGGTTAATATCTCCCCTTTCTGGACAAACTGGAAAGTCAGCAAAGTGTTAAAAAGGTGCTGAGATGTGTCAGTTCAATGCTAAGGGGGAGAGATCTTCCCCACCCCTTTTGGTGTACCGTTCTCCCATTTTACTGGTACATTTCAACTGTTATCTTGACACTTGGCCCCTGGGAAATTAACATACATACAGTCTTATATTTCCCCCCTTTGAACAATTTTCAGGGACAAAAATGAGGCTACACGTGTTTTTTAAGGCTCTGTAAAAAAACAAACTAACTTGGCACTGAATTAAGAAAAGGTAGCAATCAGAGCAGAGAAGGGAAGACAAGACGGGTTCTGCCATGAGCTACCAGCTGGAGGACCAAGGGGAAGAGGGGGGAAAACAAGCCACAGCGAGCCCCGTTGTCTTTTGACTGCACCTCAGGTGTCCAATGAACAACCAACCCATCATGACTTATTTATGGGATGGCTTAGTATGACATGAAAACCCAAGGGCTGTCTGCATTACTGATTATTCTCTTTGTGAAATGCGGGATAATCTTTCAGAAAATCCAAAAGTTGATTGGACCACAGTTTGAGAACTGATGAAACATGGAAACTGAAGCAGTTTCCTAGCTGACCAAAGCATTTTCTTTGCAACAATAGGAAGTAAATAGCAAGGGAATGGAGAATGAACACACTATTTACAATACATTAGCCATGTACACATAGTGACTGGGAACAGAGAAGCAACAGATAAGCTTAAAAACAGGGAATGCTTTACACAAGGAAGCCTCAATTCACCCACTGCAAAACTAAATCCAGGGACAGAGATTCCTGAATACCCATGGATTTAGTCCACTACAGGGCGACTGAAATTAAATCAAGATGACAAAAACTGTCCGTCACTTGCATGTAGGTCTGAATCACTTTCAGGCCAGGGGCTGAATTCCACGTCAGACGGGTTTCCGTGGAGGTCCCATTCTAGTGGTTGACAGAGCTGAAGACAAAGTGGGATTGGGCCAGAAATACGGATTTCAGCTTAGAAGCTCTTACCATCAGTACCTAAGCCTTTTGAGGCATTTTAAGGTTGAGGCATTTCTCCCTTTCAGAATGGGGGGGGGGGAAGGGGCACAAACCCAGGAAAACAGCAAGTAGTCAGGCGAAAGGGGGCACGACCCTTTGCAAAATCCCAGAGAGCGGGATTGAAACCCCAGGGGGGGCGGATTATGACCCCAGCATTGAGGTTCTGCCCCCTAATGCAAGAGTGGTCATCCTTGAGATAACTTGCCCCTGTACCATTTAGAGCTTTAGCAGGAATAAGAGCACTTCGGAATGGGCCTGGAGCTCAGCTGGGAGCTAGTGAAGGAGGTGCAAGCTGGGTGGCGTATGTGGCAGGGGTTTAGTGAGTAAGACCATCGCTGCCGCATTCTGGATCAACTGTAGCTCCTGACCCTGTTTCAACGGAGCACGTTGCAAGAGCCCATCCAAGAAGCCAGAAGTGTGTCGCAGACCTTGACTAGAGAACCAGGTCCAAATCCCCACTCAGCCACGCGCCCACTCCCCCCACTTTGGAAAGATCATTGCAAGGATAGAAATGGGGGCGGGGGCTGAGCGGGGTGTTTGCACTGCCCGGAGCTCCTCGGAGGGCATCATAAAAAAGCACGCAAGAAGATTTGTTCTGGTCAGATCAAAGGCCTATGAAGCCCAGCATCCTGTTCCCAGAGCGGCCAACCAAATTACCCAGGGGAAACTCACAGCAGGACGCGAGGCTCCCAGTGCTTTTTCCCAGCAACTGGAACCAAGATGCCCAGTGCCTCTCTTGCTGGTAATAAAGGGCCATCATGGCTAGCAGTCATTAATAGTGATCTCCTCAATAATGGATTTCTGCATCTTGTGAGAATTCCATAATTTAATTAGGTGTCGTATGAAGTAGCACTTCCTTTTGTCTATCCTGAATCTCCCACTTCACAGAATGATTTGGATTCTAGCATTATGGGGGAGGGGGCCACTTTCCCTATTCACTTCCTCCGCAACATACACAGTGGTACCTCGGCTCACGAATGCCTCAGTTCACAACCAAATCGGGTCACGAACAGAAATTTTGGGAAAAAATTGCCTGAGATGGCAAATTCCGCATCAGGTGGTGATCACGATTGCGCCCGTCTTCCCTGCATGAGCACGATCGCGATCGCGGCCATCCCCCCCCCCCCCGCCCACCGAGGTTCGCATTCTCCACTGTACTGTACTTGGTTCCTCTGTTGTTCTTTGTTACTTTGTTTCAAATTTTTGTGATAAAAAATATTTGCAGAACAGATTAACCTTATTTACATTGAACCTTAAGGGGGGATTTGACTTGGCTCACGACCAGTTCAGGTCACGACCAGAGTCCTGGAACGGATAAAGTTCATGAGCCGAGCTACCACTGTAACTTTATACACTTTAAACATTTCTCATCAGATAATATATTATACAGTATGGATGGGCAGCTGGGTGTCCTCCCAATGTTCTGGACTGCAGTTCCCACAACGAATAACCATGGCCCATGCTAGGTGGGGATGATGGGAGTTGACATCTAGCACATCTGGCGAGCCCTGTTATAGGTCCTACTTCCTCTTTGTGAGCACCAGCCCGAGGCATTGCCGCTTCTCCCCTTCCCCACCATTTCTGCCACTCTTCGATGCTGCCCTTCTCTCCCTTCGGCTCAGTCTTTCTGCTCTCCCTTTCCAGGCCCACTAGCAACCACAGCTGCTTGCGAGAGAGAGCGAGCGGCTGAGTGTGCATGCCAGCGTCTACATGCGTGGTGTGTGAGCACACTTGCTCTTGGGCGGGGCCCGCTCGCCAATTTAAAATTGGCAGTGCCGTCCCTCCAGGGAAACAAAATGGCTCCCCGGCCCAGGGTTGAGGCTGCAATTTCAAAAGGAAAAGCTAGTGAGTAATTTCCTCCTCTTTATCCCAGGCCATTATTTTGTACAGAAAGTCTCTCTTTTCAGTGATGTGTAAGACATGACCAAGATAAACATAGCTGCACATTGATTGTCAAAGCTGGACACCACAAACATCTCTCCCCTCCTTTCCTTTCTACCCCAGGGTGCTGCTGGGCAGACAATTCTTCTCCAGATGTGAAAGCTTGAATCACCTCCAGTCTCTCTAATTGCCTCCCTGCTGAGATCAACAGTCTACAGAAGACGAACACAAAAAAATTAAAAAGACACACACTTCCGTAACTAACCTATCTATACACTACAGAGTGAAAAATAGGGATGGCACTGGCTTTAACATGGTGTCCCCCAGAGAGCGCCAAGGACTGAGCATGTAAAGGTGGGGCTGAGAAGATGACCGCTGTCAGGTCGCCATGGAGGGGGTCCTCGCCTGGGGACAGCAGAGGCCACTGAGGAGCAGCATCTGTAGCGATGGGCTCGTCTGAGGAGGGGGTGACTTAAGCACCAGTGCCAGCGCCTTGCTCCAATGGCCCACCCCGTCCCCCGCCACCAACCCTGCAGAGCAAGCCTCCGTTAGAGCCTACACGATAAGACTATAGGAGTAGCAAGACACCCAGAGAGAAGCAGGAGCCTCAGTAGCTGGGATACTGCTAGGCTGAGCCGTGGGCCGAAGTTTAGGACCACATGGTCTGGGGTGAGCGGGAGGGGCGCAAATAACTGTGGCAAGGGAAAAGGACAGCAGACTTTTATTCCTGTAACCATGATACATACTGGTATGCCCTGAGCTTAAAATGCAAAACCTGATTTTATTTTAATTTAAAATCCGGTCGGGGGAACAGTTTTGTTGTCTGACATCTCAGGAACACAGAAGCAATTGGAAAACAGGATGGTGTTTTTAGAGGGAGAGAGAAATCCGCTGTGTGGTTTGCGGCAGCTGAGCCCAGCCCCCCCACCCCCCGCCATGACATCTGCCCTCAAATGCACCCACAGCAGCATCGCCGGGGCGGGCAGCCACAGAGCAGAAGCCCTGCGGGCTCCAGGGGCCGCCCTTTCGCCAGCGCGGGCGCCGCCAGCCTTGCTTTGTCCGTGCAAAGCGGAAGCACCGGTCGGTGCTCAAGGAACGAGGAGAGCCCCTCTGCCACGAGCAGTGGGTGCGAGAACAAGCCGGGAGCGCTTCCCACATCGTCCCAGCGCCACCGGGCGATGGAGCCAGGAAAGCGCCTTCCCGCAGCACGGTGGACCCTGACGCGCTCGGCAAACGGTCCGGGCAAGGCGCCCGCTGCAGTCCTGAATCCTTACGCCCGATCAGAAGGAAGCTCCACTAAGTTCAGTGGAATTTACTTCCAGGTACGTGCGCGCTCCGCACACACTATGGAATCGCAGCTCTGCGAGAGATCGCGCGCCCACGGAGACTTTCTCCCAGGAATCGTGCACCGGATTGCCCGGTTGGTCTCCTCTGGGGCTTCCCTGCCGGCTTGGAGAGCGAGATTCGTGATTTCCCCGTCGGGCTTGCGTGGGCAGGAGCGAGCCTGCGTGTGTCTGTCAAGAGCCACAGACACAGCATCAAAAAGGAAATGACAGGTAGCTGAGAAGCCAGGGGAGAAGGGAGGTTCTCTCCGCAAGAAGTTTGCACGTACGCCCACGTGCATTGTTTAGGGCGGGGGGGTCACGAATTCAGTGGCTCCCACTGCAGCAAAACAGAGGAAAGCCCCAAAATGACCCGCAGCAAAGAGGCGGCAAGAGGGTAAGAGAGAAATGGCCAGCTGTCGCGGTGAGAAACAGAAATGTATGCTGCTCGCTTGCAGCGGCTGACTTGGTGGTGCAAGGCTAGGAGGAAGGGAGCTCCGGGGAGGACGCGCTAGGGCAGCCAGGAACAGATTTTGCAACCCGCCCGTCCCTGCGCGTTTCACTTGGGGAAAGCAAAGGGCAGAGCCCGGCTAGAGGCAGGCAGGCAGGCGCCGCCGCGCCCGCGTCCACTTCCTAGCGATGGTGAGCCTGAAGCCGGTGCGGGGCAATCGTGGCTTACCGGACTTGAGCGACTCGGAGCCAGCTCCTTTGGCCCCCTTGTGCCGGGGGCTGGACGCCCGCGCCCTCATCTGCTCCACCACCGCGAGCTGCATCTCCCACTGGCAGTCCGCCCGGTACCTCTCGACCGCCTCTTCCATTTTCAGGTGAAAATACAAGCCCTTCGCAGCCATCTTAGCGTGGCTGGGTGTCTCAGCATGCAACAGGGAAGTCCCCGACAGGCGGGCGTACGGGCGGGCGGGCAGCCGCGCGCCTGGGGAACAGCCGGGTTCCCCTCCCCTCCCTGAGCATGTGCAGAATCGCGATTTCCCGCGTGCATGTTGGGAAGTGAAGTTCGGGTAGCTTCAGTCGCCGGCCAGCTGTGCAAGCACACGTGGTCCAGCGGCTGAACCGTGGTCCAGCTGTGGAGAACCATGGACAAGCCATGTCCGGAGCACCACCGGGACAGATGGCTGGTAAAGCTATGACGCGCGAGAGATTGGCAAGGTAGGGGTTAAGAGGGCTCCCCCATTAAAAGGCTGGGGCGGGGGCTCCTCTACAGTCCCAGGCAAGGAAATCTTCCTCCACCCGCCCCCCCCCCCCAGAAAGATTGGCTATGCTGGCTGGAGCTGATGGGGGTTGCTGACCAAAACATCTGGAGGGCCAGAAGCTGCTCACTCTTACTTACTTACTTATTTAAGACATTTGTATGCAGTCCTTTGCGAGAGCCTCAGGACAGCTTACACGAATAAAATTCCAAAATACATAACTCTTGCCCTAAACCCCCAGGTTCCTTCATTTTTCCTCTGCTTGATCTGCCCAGTACCTCCCTTTGAGGGGGTCCTTCCTTCCTCCACCCTGAGCCCCAGAGTCTGAGCTCTGGACACTTGGCATTACTGCCCCCTTAGGCTCACCACAAAGGCCCTCTCTGTGCTGAAGATTCCTAACAAGGCCTTTTCTGGCACCAGGAAGAGGAACTCCCTGTCACAGGAGGTTAGGTTGTTGGCTTCTGTCCAGGTATTCTGTTCTTGTTTGAATACCTTCATTTTTCAGCAAGCTTTTGTTTTTGTTTCTTCTGCTGTATAGGTTTTTTAAAAATCTGGCTTTCTAGTTAGTTAATCCGGTTACCCGTTTTTCTTGGTTTAATTGTGTTGTATATTTCTTCCCCTTCTTGTAGATTTCTCCCATGATGTGACTTTCAGTGTTTGTGTGTCAGGGTGACAAAAAAAATAAAAAAGGCAACTTGCTGTTCCCATTGTTTGCACATCTTTAAGAACTCTACCTGGCTCCTCACCATTAACTTTTTCATTTCACTGAAGGCTAAAGTATATGTGAGAATAGTTGCCTCTGCCCTTCAAGAAAGATCCATAGTACACAGTCAGTGAAGGCACATTGTGATGCCTATCCGAACACAGAATATTATGGACATTCCTGCAATGCCAATCCAATATTCATCTCCCTCTGAGGCCTCCAGGTGCAGGCAGAAAGACAACTCAAAGTCTGCGTATGTGTTTCAGAGAAAGAAGCAAAAGCAAGCAACACGAAATAGCAGCAAAACTTCATCAAGTTCCAGAAAAGTATTTGGTGTATGTTCATTACTGAGTTCTATGTAGTGTGATAGGAATTCAGGCAAATGCATTGTAGCAGTACACATGACTGTAGAAAAGAAAGATGCAGGCAGAGTGAAATATGTTTGTGGAATAAGCCAGGATGTTTTCACTCACGTGGATTAAAATTTTTTGTTTGCTTATTTCAGTCTTTATTGCAGATATGAAACTTAGATTAGCTGGAATGTAAATGGCTCTCCTTCACCTGCTGTCTTGCATTAATCATGATTGCATGGACACTAATATTGCAAGAGAAGCTCAAAGGTACTTTTGAGGTCATGTGAGAAAACAGAGAGTCCACACCATTTCAATTTCAAAACCAAAAGACAACCTTTGCACAGTGGTGTCCGAAACAAGGTGTATCCCTTATGCCCTGTGGAACTACAGGGTTATATTATTCAATGCTTAAAACTTTGAACATGCAAAATGAGGGCCAAAGTATAAGTGATGTTAAATGAATCTTTGAACTTAACAAACATTTTAAAAAAATGCAAGTAGCATTAACCGGGAATATTGATAATTATTGGGAGCCTCGAGAGTATTCTTCTCCTTTCCTGCCACAGTCCTGAGGGAAAACCCTTTCAGAGGTTTGTCCACCAAGTCAATTCCAGGTTAAGGAAGATCTGTCCAAGGTCAGACCAAGGGTCCATCCAGTCCATCTGCCCATGGATCTCACAGGCACAATATGATTATAAAAGTGCCCTCCTGCCCATGTTCCACAGCAACTGCTGTACATAAGCATACTGCCTCTGATACAGGCATAGGGACTAGGAACTATGGATTGCATCTTCCTCCATGAATTTGCCCTTTCCTCTTTGAAAGCCATCCAAAGTGGTGGCCATCGTTCCCTCTGGTGGAAGTGAATTCCATGGTTTGTGCTGTATGAAGCCGTCTTTCCTTTCATCTGTCAAGAATCTCTCACCCATCAGCTTCACGGAATGACCCCAGGTTCTAATACTATGGAGAGGGAGAAACCTGTCTCTTTCACATTATGCATAGTTCTGCTCACCTCTATCATATCTTCCCTTACTTTGCTTGGATCGTTTCTAATCCGGACAGTCGCCATTCTTCAGAGGAAGGATTTTCCCGAGGACCCCAGAAGGAGAAAAATGGATTTATTTCTGGCTCTCTTCCTGCTGCCATTTTGATAATTATCAGCCCTGTGTCGTTACTATTTGCTAAATGCAAACACAAAGAGGTGCTTCAGCTCACCTCATATGTAAGTACTCTTAATTGCTAGGCTGTGTTCGTACATAATGACAAGCCACACTGGAAACTGTACAAGCAGGGCTTGTCATTATGTGCAAACTCAGCACCCATGGGGAAGCGTGCCATGCTTGGTTTCCATGAATCCCCACAGAGAGTCAACAGTTTGTTGTAAGCTTGCCGCAGTTCACCATTGCTTGTGTGAATCCAGTTACAATTTTTTGGGATTTCCACATTTCCACTGCCAAGAGCCCTGGAGGCAGCAGATGCTCCAGCCTCCATTTTCATTGTCCTGTTCTGCCTAGTAACTGCAGAAGCAGCTGCACCTGTGCTCTGATGGGCTGCCTTGTGCCACCTTCTCTCTCTGTCCCAGGGTGCCCAGGTGTAGCTTTGCAGCGTCAGTGGCAGGGGGGCCTCGTGCCAGCCCTTTCCACCCACAGCAACTGTGGAAGCAGCCATGCTTGGCACTCCTGGTTGTGCCGTTTGCTGTACCTGGAAATGGCTGTAAATTTCTTCTGCTTGGGGGGTTGTGTATGGACATCGTCATCAAGGCACTTGCCCCAAGAAGCCCAGTCTCCCTCTCTCCACGCTCCCCAACATGCCTATCTTGTCCCTGGCATACCCAAGGGCTGATCACAACATAGAAACAGAGTGAGTCAGAAGGGGCCTCCCGGGCCATCTAGTCAGACCTCCAGCTCCAGCCGGCTCCGCTCATGACATGCCCACCATGTGCATGTCTAACCTATCCGTGAACATCCTCACCAATGGGGCCTCAGCCACCTCCCATGGAAGCCCATTCCATACCCTTGGGGTGCTGTCGGGAAGTACTTCCTGCATCCAAGTTGCACCTTGGTTCCTTGAGCCTGGCTCCGTTGGAGCATGTCCTGCCCTCCTCTGCAGGGGAGAACAGGTCTTCATGAGCCCCACCGCTGCTCCACCACCATTCCTGCATGACACATTCTTTGCGGCCAGCCAGAAAACTTTTCCAGGCAGATAAAGTCATTCCAGGAGGACACACTCCACCTGTCCCTGGCACAGCCGGCCTGTGCAGGTGCCCTTCGTATGCCTGGCTGCTGGAGGAGGCAGCCCCTGGCAGCACGCTCAGTTCTGCACACAGGTGAGGGTAGAAAGGATGCATATGCAGCGAGGGAGGGAAGACAGGTGTGTGGGTGGGTGTGCTTGCACATTGGTGCAGAGAAGGCAATCCTGCAACGCTCCTCTAGAGCAGTGGTGCTTCTCTAGCACATAGACCCCTGCTTTGTGGAGCAGCAGCAGAAAGTAACACAGGGGGCCGGCTGAGGCCACGTCCAGGGGAGCATATGGGCTGCTGAGGCAGAAGCAGGCCGTGGTGCACCCTGAGGCTGATTCTGAGGCTTGGGTGCTGATGGGAGGCATGGTGTCATTTGGAGGCGAGGTGGAAGAGCACAGAAGCCATGTGTGCGTAGGATCTCCATGAAGATGTAAACCCAGGACACAAGGCGAGATACCGTGCCGTGCAGGAACTGCAGGGCATTTCTTTGTATTATGTGCAAACACAACCCTGGAGTTGGAAGTTCATATTATCCCTCTTTTAATTAAGAACCAAAGCTGGAAGATAAGTAAATTTGCCCACATCGCAGAATAAATTAATGCACAGGACTCCAAAGGTGGCTGGTCCTCTCAGGGTCCACCATCTTATTTCCTCATGCCCTGCCCTGCTGCTTGCCAGATCTGGGACTTATCTAACACAATCAATTAAGTACCATGTAGAAACTTTACCTACACCGATAGCACTAGGTAATGTGAAAGGCTACTCCTAATGATAAAATAGGAGTAAGCATAAAGCAAGCAATACTATGCCTTATTAAGAAGCTTGTTTTTAATTTAGGTATGTATTCCCATATGTATGCGTTATTTTTCAAAAAGTGTTGATTGGCCCAATTAAGCAGGCTTCTCTCGTCTTAAAAAGAATTGTGTAGAATACAGGGCAAACCTAGCTGGATACATGTGCTTACTTTCCAAATTGGTAAATTCTACCTTTCCATTGTTGAATTCTATATAACCTGTGTTTTCCAGATCCTATTCAAGGACAGCCCCTCATACAGCACATTGCAGCAGCCCTAATGAGAGATGCCCAGAGCGTGACTAACTATGCTCAGACTATCTTTGTCTAAGGGATTCTGTAGCTGGTGCAGCAGCCTTGGCTAGCTATTCATCCATTCTTGCTGTTCTGTTACTTTAATTACCCTGGAATGTCCTGCAATTTTAAATTAAATGACTCAATTAATTACCTAGAGGAAGACACACATGGGCAGATGGAGCTCTGATGGACAGGGCTATTCATTTTCTGTAATTATAATTGGATGGAAATAGGAACATGGTATTAATTCAGGAGAATCTCAGCTTTAATTCTGTATTTTCCCTTAAAGCAAATATCTTACTCTAAGGCCAGCAAATAGTCTGAATAGTAGCAGGCACTGCCTGGAAATGGCTCCAGCGTTTAAAAAAAACCTCCCACATACACACAGAGCATCCAACCTTCTTTGAGCTATATTATTCTATTTATGGTACATCCTCCACTTTATCTTTATCTTTGTTCTGATTGTCAAGAAAAATCTAGCATCAAACTGTTTTAAATTTATTTCTTTAGGCATTTCTATACTGTTTGATTAGCATGGCACTCTCAGAATGGTGTACAGGATCCTATTAGAACAGTGTACAATGTAACACTCCATTTAAAAGCAAATTTAAAACACAAGGCCTAATGCTCATCTGCAGGGAAAAAGTTGGCTTTTACAAAGCACACTTGTGCATTTAAATCACAATTCATTTTGGACCTGTTTTCTGCAACGGAAGACAGGCTTCATGAATTTTGTGTTGGAATATAAAAACTCGAGAGGTTGCATCATTGTCCTAATTCTGAATTCCAGTGACACATTTTGCACCACTTCCAACCACTTTTCCTTTTGTTTGTTACGGCTCCTGATAGCACATGTCAGGTTTATCCGTGTTGAACACTGCCCAGGACACTCAGGGCACTGTCCAGTCAGAATGGTTGTAAGCCTCCAAACTCTCTCTCTCGTCCTCCAAAATGCTTCAGACAGCACGTTTTGGCCAACCAAGTGTTTTTTACCTGCTTGCGAGGATAGGCCAAAGCCAAATTAGGATCTGTCATATCCTGGCAGAACCTCACTCCTCCCCATCCACCCCCTAATTGCCCCCCAACATGGGGAGACTTGGAGCTGCAGCTGGCCCTCTGCCTTCCCCCAGGGCCATCCAGGTAGCATCTAGTGATCACTAGATTGTGCCATAATTAATCAGAAAGCGCTAACAATGTAATGGTTGCTTATAGAACCCAAATGACTGAGCCTACGGTCCTTACAGTCCTGGAAAAAAACTTGAAGTGATGTGTCATCTTGTAAACAAAAGGGAGTTAAAGAAAAATATGACCTCAGTACAAGATCAGAAATTATGTGGGAACTGCCAGATTGTATTTAATATTAGTTTCATTAATTTCAAAGGGGCTAGTTGAAGTACAATGAGCACTGAATACAACCAGAATACAATTCTGACATTTCAAATGTGCCACTGAAAGTTTAATGCAATGGACACAGAGTTTCACAGGTTGGTTCCCATTCAGGCTGCAACCAAAGCAGTTTTCTGCATGCTACATGTAAATGTTTGCAATAAAGCAGTATTTTTAACACTGAAAAACATCGTTTACCCTTCAGACCTTTCTCAGGAGGAAATCAAGAGCAAGGCTAATAAAATATACAACACTATTCTTGTATGGCAAATTACATTTATCCAGCCCTCTATGATTTTCATGAACTAAAAGTAGAAAAGATGAAGTTAAGAGAAGGACAGTATTAAACAGGTTAAGGTTCAAGTATGTTGGTGTCTGCCATCCTGAGGCATAGCACTAGTAAAATTCAGACTATAGTTGGAAGTAACTTTCAGTATCATCAGTGATTTAAAAGTACAACCTTTGCACGCAAGCTGTACTGAAAACCATAGGATCTATTTCTATTATTATTATATGATAAAATAGAATTGTTGTTGTTGTTGTGTTGCATTTATATCTTGCCTTTTCTCTCTGGCAAGTAACCCAAAGCAGTTTGCATTATCTGGTCTCCATTTTATCCTGACAACGGCCCTTTGAAGTAGGTTAGGCTTAGGCTGAGCGTGAGGACCTGGCCCAAAGGCACCCAGTGAGCCTGGATCTCGCAGGTTCCCATCCCGACCCGACCCTCTCCCCACCACTCCTTCTCTCCAAAGCGCTTATGGATTGGTGCATGGCTCACAGTCCCATTTTCCTTCCAAACAACTCTTGAGAGCAGTGCTGAGGTCATGAGCATCCCAAAGCCGTGCAGCGAGGCTCAAGACTGAGAGGGTGGCCTGGGACACGCAAGTCCCAAGAATCGCTCAGGATGCGACCCCTTCTTCTGTGTAGGATTGCATAGGATTGCGCCTTCAAAGAAAGGTGGTTTTGAGGATACGAGCCTCATTCACACGCAGGCAGCAGCGTGGAGGACCTCGAAGCGGTTCTCGGTTGTGGGGACGGGGCGTGGGCTGACCCAGAGTCGTCAGCATCACACCCAATCACGCCATTCAAACTAACGACCACCGCCCAGAAATCACTTCGCTGCCAGCCCTTACAGTGATTCGCTAGCTCTGTTGGGTAGCTAACGATTGACAGGGAGCGGGCCCTATCAGCGTGAGCGGAAGGAGGGCAGGAGGCTGCTCTCCCCAGCTCCGTTAGGAGGGGGATGAGGCCACGTCATGAGCGGAGAAGAGGCGTGGCAGTTCAGCAGCACACTTCCTCCCCTCTCCGGCCGTGGTGTTCTTCCCCGACTTGTTAAACAGTAGATGTCCCAAGCGGCCAGCCAATAGCCGAGGAGGGGGGCGTGGCAAGGGGCACGCGCGGAAGGTTCAGAGGTGACCGGGCGATAAGGGGTGTGGAAGGTGGCCGAGTAGGTCCAATACTCTGCACGATTCCCTCTTGCTGAGGGGCGTCGTTATCTTGGCAGCCGCCGCCGCCGCCGCCGCGGGTACAGTCGGGGGCTGGCGAGGCGCCCCGGCGGTTCGGGGCGAGCACCTCCGGTTTGCCAAGAGAGGGCGCCTGCCGCCCCTGAAGGTACGTGTCGTGCTTCCCTCCAGATCTCCTCTCCCTCATCCCCTCCTTGCTGCCTGGTTGCCTGCCCAGCAGGGGCTCCTCGCTGCGGTGTGGCTGAGCAGAGCGACGTTATTGGAGGGAGCCGGTGTGGTCCGCGGGCCCTTTTTGGACTGGGGGTCTGGAGATCTGGGTTCCAGGCCCCGCTCGGCCATGCGCCTCCCTGAGTGAAGTGACATTGGGCCAGTCACTGATTCCCACCCTGACCTACCTCGCAGGCTTGTTGGGAGGATAACCTAAACCGTGTGGGTTCCTCGCAGGAGCCAAATATACAGATAAGTTGCCAATCCCTATACCCATTTGATTGAACTCGAGTGGAATGAGTAGACATGTCCAGGACTGTGCTGCTATTACAGGGTTGCACCGAGATTTAGCCGGACTTTGGGTAGACCCTTTGCGGTCGGTGAGACTTAGTGATGACTCAGAAGTTTCACTTAATTTGAATGGGTCTGCTTTGACTATGAATAAATCTGCGTCCCAACCAATATTTCAACTGCTGTGCATAGATTTAGATGGATATCATTATATTTAAGGATGCAAACCATGAACAATAGGACAAATATTTTGAATTTTGGAGTGTTTGCATCAAAACACTTCTGATACATTAAAAGTGCAGTCCTATGCATTCTTAAAGAGAGAGAAGCTGGCTGCGGAATGCTGGATTGGTAGGGGGTTTTTTTAGCCTGTGTAGGATTGTGCACTTAAACCTTCTTGTTAAAACCCGTAAGCAAATTTACCCACATTTTAAAGATTGTCTTGTTATAATGCTTTTTCTTAAGATACTGTAAGCTCCCTCAAGTGTGTGGGCCTTCTGAAATTGTGGGGCTTAAATTTTGATAGATATTTTAAAATTGAGCTGGGATTGTATTAAGGAAGATTGAAATAAAAGCAAATATGTTTTCTTACTAGTTTTAGAGGGCGTCTCCCCTTTAACTTTATATTATATGGGTATATTGTGTTGTCTTTTGGCTGCAATAGTAAGCTGTGTTGATTCTATCAGTAAAAAGCAGGCTAGAAACGAAATAAAAGTTCCACTCTTACAAGTAGACTAAAAATAATTATCTTAAAATAGGGGAGCGATCCTACATGGCTTGCTGAAGGGTTCCTGAGAGTTGTGGTAGGTATTACATCTAAACAGATATAGATCTCAATCTAAATAATATGATTTTGGGCACAATCCAGTGCCCCCAGACTATATGCACTTAACCCTCTGAACTTAGAAACTTGCGTGAATCCCATGACTGCTGCCACACCTCACCCTGTGCATTTTCTCTAGGCAGTCATTTCTCACTATCTAGACGAAGCAACAGGGAGGAAGGCAGCTGGAACAACAATAGGGATTGGTATAATGGGCAGCACTAGCCTCCCCCCCCCCCGCCTCCCAGCACATGCTCCCCCGCCTGCAGGTGCATTTGCAGTTTGGTGAGGCAACTCGTGTGGTTCTTTCCATACTAGCAATGAAGAGGGCAGGGGCTTGGTTGTCAGAGTCCCAGCACTGAGGTTGCAGGGTCTCAGTACTAGAACTCTGAAAAATTCTCATGTCTTCCAGATGATGTTGGGGGGCCACGCGATTGTGCCCTTAGGGTTCATAAAAATAAGTGAGAGAATTGTTTGTTTGTTTATTTATTTATTTATTTATTAAAACATTTCTATGCCGCCCCATTCGCTGAAGCCTCGGGGCGGCTCACAACATAATATAATACAAAAATAACAATATAAAACTAAAAATATAAAATAAATAACAATATAAAAGAGGTTTGTCAATATGTATTGCAAAATCATCTTTCATACCTGCTTTCATATATTAGCCAAATAGTTAGACGGAATTTTATTGAAGAAAACACAATGTGATTTAAGTCCAAAACCATTTGAAGTGGGTGTTCGTTACTTTTTCTTATTTAATATTATGTTACCATTCTAGCTCTTCATAAGATCAGTGCTTGGGCATGTTAGCCAGCCAAAGCTGGAGGGAGGATGCAGGGTTGGTTATAAGCAATTTATGGTTGATAACATTCTGAAGAAGTATGAAACAATATGGTAGAAAGTAAAATAAGCTGATGAGGAGCGTTTACCCTTGGAAGTGAGGCCAGTGAACAAATAGTTTTCAGAAGTTTGCAATTGTGCTTCCAGGTCTAAAGGTTTATTGACAAGCCTTGCAAAATGACAACTCTGGGTTTGAATAATTGAGAAATACTAGTAGTCCTGAGATTTGGCATGCCTTTATCACTTGTCACATGTTGGGTCTTTCCCACCAACTTTTACACAACCTTTTATGTCCTCTCTATTAAAGTGTTTAGACATTTAGCATTCACCATACCTACTAGCCAGTTTTGAGGCCCATTTCTGAATGAGCATAAATCGAGGTATATTTTGCTCAAATATGAATGGCTGAAGTAATACTGGTGAGCTCCTTATTGAGCGTGAAGCCATATGCAGCAGGAGCCCTTCACATAACGAGAATAAATTGGGCACCTTTCATTGAAACTCAGTTTGGGTATTGGAAAACAAAAAAGTAAGAGGCAGAGGAGATCTTTCATATTTGAAAGACTGGTTTGCTACACCTGTTTTTTGCTTACTTTTATATTTCTTTTATGTATTTAACTATTAGCTTTTCATGGTGGATTTGAAGAGGAAGGAAAGCCTGGCCTTGAGTGTGATGTTGTAATACCAGCTAAATGCACATGTTGATCTTTTATTCATACGCTGTCATTGAGTAATCTTTTTCCACTTAACCTTGGCTGATGTGCTTCAGGATAATTGGTGGTTATTAATAAGAGCAATATTTAGAGTCAGGGAAAAAGAACACCTGTAGGCTCACTGTTAAGAGATTAACTGCAATTTAAAGGCCAAATCTGCCCTGGACTTGCCAGCATACCCTCGTCAGCATGAGCAGAAATAGTGGTTAGCCAGCTGGCTTTAATGCTTCTATAAATGTTTGCCGAAGATGCAGTCATCAATTTATACTGCTGAACAATTTCTAATTGCCATCTTTCACTAAAACTCAGTTTGGGTATTGGAAAACAAAAATGCAAGAGCCAGAAGAGAAAAGACCTTTCATATTTGACATGCTGTTTTGCTACCAACATCGTTTTTTATTTTTGTATTTCTTTTTATGTATTTATGTAAGTTAACTAATAGTTATTTATTAACTTCTAATGGTTGCTTGGTAAAAACAGGAGGGATGGAGTGTTCTGTCCCTTCCAGCATAGAAACCAATTAGAAACCCCTCCTCCACATTCTCCTTGTTCAGCCCCCAGCAGGGTAATTTTTAAAAAGTTAGCAGGCTGTAATTGCATATAACACTGGATGAACTGCAAGGCCCGCCTTCTCCCATACCAGCCTGTCCAAAGTCTGAGATCATCAACAAAGGCTCTTCTTAGCTGTCTGCAACCAGGCGCACTTAGGCTGGTGAGTACAGGGCATTTTCACTGGTGGCCTCGTGCTTGTGGGATCATCCTGCACCTGAGGTTCTTCAGGCTGCTGCTCTGTAGGTCTCCACAAAGGTTCTGAAGAGCTACTTGTTTTTGCCGGCCTTTTTATTATCTCGAGATGATCATTTTCATGGGTGTCATTTGTTTTAGTAGTATTTTATAATATTCTTATTTTTAATGTATTGCCTATTTGTATACTTTTGTATTGAGTTTTATTTTGAATGCCACCTTGAAAGGGTTCCACCCTTAATGGTGGCCTAACTTTTTAAATAAATTTTAAAAAATGCATTCCTATTGCCTTGACAAAGAAGGCCAGCACCTCTTGTTTTGTTGTGCTGCAGCAACGCAACTGCCGTAACATCCCGGAATGGTAAGCGTTGCGCAGGGTGTGCATTTCCCCATTGTTAGTGGTACAGTCACTAGGTCTGAGCAACCCCTGGGTTGCCATGACCAAGCAGGAGCAAGCGAATTGGTTCCTGGCTACTTGCCACCCAAGGGTGCCTCATCCCTGCATTGTTTATCCTGATGTCTGAACCCAAAACTTTGGATTATGAGGTATTCCAGAGATTGAACCGTGGGCTGTTTATCACAGCAGGGGTGGTCATCCAGGAACCAGCATGCTTACTTGATTGTTGCAGAAATGGTGGGGTTTATGCTAAATTATTTGTTGGACAATCCCTTTGGGATACCCATAATCCTCCAGATTCAGAGGATGACAGGAGTCCTATGCAGAGCAGAAGGGAGTGACCTTCTCTTCTGCACTCCTCCTGCCCTGCAAGGCAGTTAGATGGCCTATTTTGGCTGCCTAAGTGCCTCACTTCAGTGTGTAAAGGAAGGAGACGGGGTGTTGGCAAGGTACTGTAGTGGTGGTTGTGTCCTCACCCCCAAGACTGCCTAAACAAGCCCTCCTCTGAGCTTGTGCTTGCGACCGCAAAGAAGCAACAGGTGTGGTTCTCTCTGCTTTAAGTTTCTGAGCTTGACGCTAGGACTCCAAAATCCTATGGCCATTGAAATGCTGCCTAGCAGACACACAAGGACATTGTTGGTCCCCATTCCAGTGTTGCTTTATAAATACATGAAAGAAGACTTTTCTTTCATGTGGTCTTTACCCCATTAGAGATGTCTTGTATTTTAAATATATGATTTTATCTATAATTGTTTGTCTGTTGGTTTCTCTCTAGGAGCATGGCTATAATAACACATCTGAGGATCTGTAGGACATATTTTCTCTGCTGCCTTGTCCTTGCATCCTCGGTTGTCTCTTCTGCAGAGGAGCATGCAGGTGGGAGTCATCACTCCAACGCACACCTTGATAAGAAAATGGTGCAAGATAAGGAGTATGTATGCCGTGCATTTGCTGTTTGCAATGTTTATGAATTGCTTATGTTACAAAAATGCAAGTGATATACAAGTATACAGTATAAGATCATAATTAAATATTGTATAGTATTACTGTATGCAGAAGAAAATAATTCCTTTCTGCACCTGCTTGTTAGAAAAAGGATGCTTTCAGTGGGTACCAGAAACACGGGTTCATGCATCTCCTATTTATTTATTTATTTATTTAAAACATTTGTATGCTGCCCAATTGTGCCACAGCACCTCTGGGTGGCTCACAATCACAACATAAAACATAATAAGAACCAACTACCACATATTAAAAATATGATATCGATAAAATATGGGCAAAAATACTAGAGAAAGGTCAAATGGCATTCACTATTAAAATATTTTTTAAAAAAGAAAGGTATTTTCCTGGTGGCAAAAAGAATATAGGGAAGGCACCAGGCGAATCTCCTTGGGGAGAGCATTCCAGATATGGGGAGCAGCTGCAGAAAAGGCCCTTCTCCTAGCAGCCACCCCTTCACCTTCTTAAGGGATGGCTCACACAGGAGGGTCCCCGGCGTAGATCTCAGGTCGGGTAGGCACATACGGGTGCAGGCGCTCCTTCAGATAACCAGGGCATAAGCCATTTAGGGCTGGCTTTATATGTCAGCTCAAGCACCTTGAATTCTACGTGGGCCACAATTGGTAACCAGTTGAGATCTTTCAGGATGGGTGTTATGTGGACTGCTCTAGGGGCTCCCATCACCAACCGAGAGACCCTATTCTGTACCAGTTGTAATTGCTGGATCATCTTTAAGCGCAGTCCCATGTAGAATGCACTGCAGTAATCTGTTTTGGATGCTACGAGTGCATGGGTTACTGTTTTCAGGCTCTGTCAGTCCAGGTGGGGACGAAGCTGGTATATCCTCCGTAGCTGGAGGAAAACACCCCTGGTCACTGAGCTCACCTCATGTTCCAGGGACAAACCTGGGTCCAGGAGCACCCCTTGACTACAGACCCTGTCCCTTAGGGGGAGTGCGACCCCATCAAGGACAGAGCAGTGCCCCTTCAACTTGTCAGATGACCGCCCCCCCCCCCTACTAGCAGCACCTCCATCTTGTCAGGATTGAGCCTCAGTTTAACCTCATCCAATCCATTATCAAGCTCAGACCCCAGTTCAGGATGGCGACAGCCTCACCTGGATGAGATTGAAAGAGAGGTAAAGCTGAGTCCTCAGCCCAAACCTCTGCATGACCTCTCCCAGCAGCTTCACACGCATGTTAAAGAGCATGGGGGACAGCACTGAGCCCTTCAGTTCCCCATGACCACCACCACCACGGTGCAGAGCAACTGTCCCCCAGGACTACTTTCTGGATCTGGCCAGCCAGGTAGGAGTGGACCCACCAGAAAGCAGTGCCTCCAACCCCAACCTGTCCAGAAAGACACCATGGTTGATGGTGTTGAAGGCCACCGAGAGGTCGTGAAGAACCAACAGGGTCGCAAACCCCTGTCCCGCTTCCTGCGCAGGTCATTATTCAAAGTGACCAAGGCTGTCTCCATTCCAAACCCAGGCCTAAAGCCCGACTGAAATGAATCCAGGTAATCTGTGTCCTCCAAGAGTGCCTGCAGCTGCCTGGCCACCACCTGCTCTGACACCTTCCCCAAAAAGGGGAGATTAACAATGGGCCCGTAGTTATCCAGTAACCTTGGATCCAGGCCTGGCCTTCTTAGGCGTGGTCTCACTACTGCCTCCTTTAGTAGGGCAGGGACCACTCCCCCTCTTAATGAGGCATTGACAGCCTCCTGCACCCAGGAACAAACCCCTTCAACCAGGATGGGCACCAGGTAGTGTTAGTGGGTTCCCGAGAGTGGGCACGAGGAAGTTAAAAACCCTCTGACCCTTTGAAAATGTTGGGTTTGACCTCCTCCTTTTTCTGACGCCTGTCAAAGTGGTGCAGATTAAGTATGGACAGCCTGTGAGCTGCACAACTACATTTGGCTCTCTAATGTCCACAGAACACATACTCACTGATTCTTCTAATCAGGGGTAGAACTCAGGATCGTCCACTGAAATGGGCTGGATTGTACTTAAAGGAGGTACTTACTTCATGGAGGACTAGTGCATATACTGGTATATAAGGTGACTCGCATATAAGACAAGGGTGATATTTTGGACTGTTTTTCTGGTGTTTGGCATGTAAGAAGACCCCCCATTTTTGTGTTGCTATTTTCAGTTTCAGGGGGCTCCTATACACCAGTATTTACAGGTATTTGTCCGCTTGAAAGGTTCTAGACTCTTGTAATGTGGTGTTGCCATATTCTAGTAGCTCTGTTCCCACTCTGATTTCATGCAAGGTTTTGTAAAGTTGCAGGGCAGTGGCAGCCTGCAGGGGGGCTGGCTGGTGCCAGTGTTGCGGACAGGCGAGAGGGAGGCGGCCCGCCTGGGCAGGGCTGTGCCTTTGCACAGACAGCCACATGGAGAACACTCCCCTTCCCAGCGGCCGCTGCCACGGCCGGCATGGAATGGTGTGCTGCCTCCCCCGGTGAGGGTGGGGTGGGCACCAGCCTTGGGACCAGCCTTGCAGCTGTGCACAGAGCTTCCAGTGCAGGATGAGCTCCCCTGGTACCAGTAAGATTCTTTTTTTTATGATTGTTAATAAAAATGAGCTTGTAAAGACAATTGTCGTTCTTATCTATCCCATTAAAAAAACAATGAATGTAATACGATGAACATTTTTCACCTGGTGTGTAAGACAACCCCCAATTTCTGCCTCCTTATTTCCAGTTTCAAGGGGCATCTTATATGCCAGGACATAGGGTAATCATCAGTGGCGGTAGCGATGATAGCCAGTTTCCACTTTTGTGGTCAGCAGCTGTAGTTTGCTGAATACCAAAGGCTGGGAAAAATGCAGGAGGACTGATGCTTCTGCTCCCAGCTTGTGAGCTGCTTCAGAACATCTGCTCTGGGGAGAATTTAGTGTTGCATTTGCCATAGCAGTGAGCAAGTTCTTACATCTGGAATAATAATATCCAGATGAAAACGCACCCAGGCCTCTTGGGTTGGGGGTGGATTTTTTCCTAGATTATTTTCCACCATTATTGCCTCTGAACCTGCCCAGGAAGTTCTCTGTCCTGGCTTTAGGGGGGACTAAACTGTTCTGCTCCTTCTGGAAGTACAAAGGCCCTGGCAGTTCAAGGAGAGACCCTGACATGTAAACGGCTCCATCAGGAAGCGGTGTCTGAACCAGCAGGGAGAGAGTTAAGCTCCTCCTTTCCATGGTCCCAAGGATGTGCCAACTTCCCCTGTGGCTGCTGCTTATGTAACACAAATGTGCACACTGTCTGCGTCCGAGCAATTCGTGGTGGTGTCTGATTGGCTCCTTGCAGCAGCACGAGGAGCCGGTGTGCGGAGTGGAGTTGTGGGGAGTGGAGTCATTGCACCAACCCTGCTGAAACTGCACTGACTTTTCCCTCACCCCTTTTCCCGGTTGTGCCATGTCCATTCAGTCCATTATTGGCCCGTGAGTAGGGACTGTTCAGTCTGTACTGATTCTGCGTAAGCTGCTCTGGCTGCAGGGTAGGGCAAAAATATTTTAAGTGGTTAGAAATACAGTTTATTTATGTATTATTTATTTATTTAGGAGACTTCTATGCCGCCCCATTTGCCGAAGCGTCGGGGTGGCTCACAACCATAAATAAACTTCAAAAAAAAATAATATAAATTAACAATATAAATTATAAATAATTATATTTATTTAAATATACATTAAGTCGCCCTTAATGTATTATGTATTCATTTAAAACCACATCATGTGGGGTTGAGTGTTTTGAAGAGTGTGCCATTCTTTTTCTGTAGCCACATCATGGAACATTTAGAAGGTGTCATTGACAAGCCAGAATCCGAGATGTCGCCACAAGAGCTGCAGCTTCATTACTTCAAAATGCACGATTACGACGGCAATAACTTGCTTGACGGACTAGAGCTTGCCACTGCAATAACACACGTGCATAAAGAGGTGGGTGCTGCCTGTTTTGTATGATTGCCTGTAGCGTTTTGCATTTTACAGTGTTTTACAGTGCTAGTCACACCAAAAACTATCATTTTAGGATCGGTTCTCCAGAACAAACCACCCTAAACTGAACTCTACATAACCTGCACATTTCTGGTCTGTGTGGAGAGGGTTTGAGAGGAGGAGTTCATACCAACAGTGGTGCATCGTGGCTTTTTAGTCCGGATCTGCTTGGCCCACTTAACTTTTTCTGCCCTTCATTATCTGTTTTCTAGCAAAGAATGGTATCCAATCAGACATTGCCACTACAATAAGCCACATTGTACTAGTGTAGCAGTCCTTGACAGCCTTAGCGGGTGCAATAGGTTTTCCAGGAATTTCCTTCACACCCACTGAGGCTATCGGCATGATGCTAGTGGTCCCTCATGGTAACACAACTGAATTTACATGAGCGGTACTGTCCAGCTGGATACTCCCAAAGTTAATGCACTCCTAAAGCAACCATCAAGAACAAAATATTGTAAGCGGTATTCTAATTTCCATGCTTTCCGAAGCCTGCTGCTTTACTGAAATCCACCCGTCCTTTTTCACTGCAGGAAGGTGGTGAACACACTCAGCTGATGAAAGAAGATGAGCTCATTAGCTTGATAGATGGAGTCTTGCGAGATGATGATAAGAATAACGATGGATACATTGATTATGCTGAGTTTGCCAAGTCACTGGAATAATATTTTAGTTTATATTTTAGTTCATATGACCCAGTACAATGTGATTCTTTACTCCATTGGTCTGTCTGTTCTACCTTTTGGTTTGCAAAATTGGTAAGGAAATGTATCAGTCAGAAAGCTGCACTTTTATTTCCTAAAAGTTGAGGAGCAAAGGTGGTTATACTGAGAGCTGTTACTTGATGTGATCTTGCTGGCTAACAATGTTGAGTAATGCTGTACATTGTCCCATTAATTATCTAACGGTTGGTGCAAAGTCTTGTTTCAAAGGCTGTTGTCAAAGTCTTTCAACACAGAATAACATTTGGAAAATTCCCATAAACATTATGTATAATGTTTGCAGCCTGTCACAGTGGGTCATTTCATGCTTATGCTAACTCATGTTTTTTAGTTCACCACTCAGTGTTTCTCAAAAAATAGGGACACTCCAGGAAAACGTAAGTATTCTCAAGATCTATTGATGTCAGTGAGATAGTGATGTGTTTAAGTATATAATTCAGCAACACACTCAAGAGGTCCCCCTCAATAGAAATGGGTACCATTGCCCTGTAAATCTCAGTTAAAACTGATGTGATTTAAAAACAGTGTGGCTGCAACTGTACCCTAACATTTCAATTCATGCTTATCAGTGTTGCTGCTTTCTCTGCCCTTTGGTTGTTTACTAGGTTTTGCGCTGTCCTAAATTATCCTTTCAAAGTAACTTTTCAAAGTATATAAACCTATATACTTTGTGTGTACATGCATGAGGGAGATCATCAATACAGTATTTTTCTTCAAAATTCATTTTCAGATAGTTGTTAATTATTCTCTTTATTAAAGCCCTTTACCAATAACTGTTCCTACATTAGCTAATAGCATTTATAGTAAAATGATGCCTTGTCAAGGTTTATACCAATGTACCTTGTCATGAATATATAGTATTAGCTAGGAAGTTATTTTTTGTTTTTTCTAGAAACAACTCTTCAAAAAGTGTTTTAAATACTTGAATAGGCTGCTAATTTAAAATTGTGGTTCTAGAATTATACACAGGTTTTGGTTCCACATTGAACAGTCTTTTTGCAGATTGAAAGTATTTGTAACAGTCTTGATGTTTGCCCTATTGTATAAACCAGATTGGAAAGTGTACTATTATTCAGTAAAAAGCACTATATTCACAAGAAACAAAAACCTCAGAATGTCCTGTGTAAATTATAGAGACCTATTTTCTGTATAAAAATATTCTTATATGAAGTGCATTTGTAAAAACAAGCATCCTTTGTTAATTGTGTAATAAAAAGCACTTGTACTATATTGTTGTAATATCTGAATTATTGGACAGACTTTTAAAATAGTAGTTTATGCTAAACAGAACACAGTACGATCAGATGCTGCAAGTTACTCCTCAAATTCAGGAAAATAAAGTCATGAATATTTTTTTCTGCAAGAAAGAGAAGAACATTTTGTGTCATTTTACAATAATGCACCTATTCGCTCTTGGGACCCACTGATTTAGGGTATGATCGGCTTCCCCACATAGCTGCTTCACACAATGCTTATTTGGCACGTTGCATCCAGGGCGAAAATGTCGTAAAAGCCCACCATAGTGTGATTTATCCATGGGGGCTGTCACACTGTGCCATGTGGGGAGGTGCCTGGGAACTAGGCAAGCCGCACCTTAACATTAAAACAAGCCCTGGGTTATTTGAGAGCTGTCTGACTTACCCAACCCCTGCAGTGTGGGCTTGTGGGACACAGCATGCCAGCTGCCATATAAAAATGCCAGCTGTGAGTAGCTGGTGTCCCATGATAGTCCTCACAGCTCAGCCAAGACCCTGGGCTTGCATGGGGCGAAAACCCGCTCAAGCTGGGGAGAGGACGTTATTTGGCTATTCTCTGCATTGTTGTTTTTCAGGATCCTTCCCAACTCCCCTATCCAGATTCCCTAAATGCTAATAATTGCACTTTGGATGAGACCCTGGGAATGGAGCTCTCCAGTTTTCAAGTTTCTTCATTTAAACAGGCATGAGGAAAGTGTTCTGCCAAGGCTCACATTCCTTCAGGGGAAATCTAGGTGGAGATGCTGCCAAACCCTGCAGGAGGAGGAGCACCCCAGAACAGCTTTGCCAGGGTGCAAACTGATCGCTTGCAGAGGGTTCTTGAAATCGGTCAAGAGTTGTCCAAGCATGATTACTGGTAATGTTAGTATTCCTGAAAAAAAGTGCAAATATCCTTCTAAATTTGATTTAATAAAGGATGCACAACCATGACAACACAGAAAAAGAATGAAGTAAAGCTCTTTAAAACCAGATTTTGTTAAGCTTACACAGAATATCAACACAGCATGGTTTAGCAAAAATTTCCTCTCCCATCACAGCAAATTTGAGCAGAGGTCCCACCCGACTTCCTAAACCTGTTAAATCATTTAAAATGTATCAGTCATGGGGAGTATTGGGAATTGGTGCTCTCTCCTACAAGCAGAAGGTGCCAGAAGAGGCTTTCTTGCTGCCTCCTGAAGAGAAGGGGTGGTCTGAAGTCGGTAGAGCCATCTCTGCTGGGCAAACTTCCTTGACCCCAAGTACAGATTGCTTCTGCCTGATGTGAGCAAAGTACTAGACCAACTCTGCCCAGTGATGAACTGGATACACCTGTGTGTTAAGTGGAATCTGAACAAACAACATGTTTTAGTTACTCTGACCTGAAAGGATGGCATCAGTTTTATACAGTCCTCATCTATGGCAAGATGTGATCATGATGGTTGGAACAGCACAGTAGCAATACAGACGTGGCGAGAGGAAAGGAAAGGGTGAAATGCACGCGGGCCCTTTGGAGATCCAAAGTCGGATAGACGTATGATTGGTTTAAAGTATTTTTATCCCACGCTTCAGTCAAGGAACATTCCCAGAGCAGCCCTATCAGTAAGCAAGACAGTCTGTTTCTGCAGGCTGCAAACCTAAAAGACCAGATGCATCAGGGAAAAGGGACGGGAGGGATGAGGGGAAAGGTGGGTGTTCAGCTGGGCTCGTGGAATGGCCGGTTATCCTCTCTTCTCCCAGTGGGCAGGGCAGGGCAGGGCAGGGCAATCCCTTGGCTTACTCCTTACTCCCTGCCCCCAGGGCGATGCCCATCAGCTTCCTCATCTGACTCAGATGGCAACAGCATTTTCGCTTATCTCCTTAATCTTCATTCCAAATTGTATCCAGGGTTTGCTAGCAGCATTGGCATGCTTTCCTCCTGCTCTTGTCTCTTTCCTCCCTCTTCTGGCCCATGTTAGTGAGGTCCTCCCAAGACACTTCTAAGGTAACACTTCTGTACTATTAAACAGCAGCAGGTGTATGTATGCAACTTATTCCTAACCTTGTGCATTCTCAGGCTAGAGAGCCGAATCTACTGCAAATCATGCAGAGATTTGCCATTACTTCCAGGGCTACATTTGCCCACCCCTGGTGTAGATCACCACAGGGATTAAGGTATATGATACCTTGATCTAGTAAGGGAGATCCATGCCTAGAAATGGTTTCTGTTCATAAATGCTTTTCCTGGAAGTGGAAAAAGCAGGTGTGCATTCAGACGCAAGAAGGCATGTGATGCCTCTTCCCTTGGTGTTTGAAATAAGTGCTTCTTCTCTGCATTGCAGTAGAGATGGAAAGGTTCATTGCCCAAGTATTCGCCTGTGTGCTGCTCTGTGTATCCTCATGGATGCCATGCAAGGAAGGCATGGGAAATTGTGTACATCAGTGAGATGAGTTGACATCATGCAAACATGCCTCTAGCCACCAGAGGGCGCGGGAGTTCACTTTAAACATGCATTGGAACTACTCCGAAAAACAGCTTTTAAACGCAACTTGAAGGAGGACTCAGTTTTATCACCTGTCAGTATTATAGCAAGGCAAATTAATCTTAATCTAACCCAGGTTTCTCCAGATGGGTGTTCTCCAGATGGGTTGGGGAATTATGGGAGTTGCTGTCTGACCCATCTGGAGGGCGCCAGGTTGGGGACAGTTGATCTACTCTAAGCCTGATCAGCCAAAATTTCTCCGATTATGAAAGTGTATGCCCTCACACCAGCCAAAGGGCATTCAGAACACCACATACAGCCCCACAGAACACTCGCACCCCTCTTTCATTAACTTAATAATTCTGTCATTAAACAGGCCAAAAACTCTTCAAAATCACCTCTCCTTGCCAAGACCAATAGATGAAACTGAGCATTTTGTCCCCAGTCCAAAGCACTTGAGTTATGACAAGCCAAAGAAATGTTTAAAAAATGTGCAAGATGACCTCATTTTTCCCCTTTCCCTTGAATCTCTTCGATACGTCGTCCAACTTTCCACAGCACTTAACCACCCCTACTTGAATTACCTGGAATACGATTTCATTCCAAGATTCATGGTGACATTTTGCAAAGTTATGAATGAAGCTTGCTTTAAATTAAACCACTGAAGCACGAGTGAGCAAAAAGCAACCATTTCTCCATAAAATACTCAGCGTGTAAATTGCACTTTAGAAGGTTCCACAGGCATCACATACATTATTTTGACAATCATGCTGAGCGCCCTGTATAAGAGAGATGTCCTCAAGTGGTGGCACCATGAAAACCTCTGGGGACAGAGGACACGGAAGCATCAAAATGCATTTCGGGAAGCGCCGACACCAAACTAGTCTTACGGTGTGACTCAACACAAATCTGCCTAGTTACTTTACTCTCACAAGGTCAGGATCCAAGCTCAAGAAGACAAACTGTGCAGCTTTAAAGTACAAAATATACCTGGCCAAAAAAAAGAGATATCCCTTGAATAAGACTTGCATTCCTCATTGTCACTGAACACACCTTTAGAACATAAAAATATGCTCAGAGGTTACCTTGTAGCACAAATACCACCATTCTTTAATGGGCACACAGGACCAAAATTCCCCTCTCATGGCACATACCTTTTTTAGAGTTGTGTTATTTAAATATTTCCAGTCCAGTAAAAGTGCCTTTTACCATAGTGGTCCAGGGATGTGATGGGGGGGGCAGATGGGGGTGAGTTACTTGTTTGGAAGAGGCTCTGCTTGCCCCCCTTCAGTGGAACCTATAGCCCACAGTGGTGGCAGAAAGTGCAACAGCAGCAAGGCTGAGGTTGTTATCCCATCCACGCCCACCTGGGAGAAAATCCAACTGAACAGACTCAAATGAGCCTCAGTCATGCAAACCTCTTAAGTAGACACATCTAGGTTTGCATTGTCAAAGACTAGCAGCTTGCTGAAGGCCAGCTAGAGAGCAATCTGAAACCTGGTTCAGACTGAAAACATGCCCTTTGACTCCCAGAATTCCTGTGCCAGCCATGTTGCTGGGGAATGCTGGGCTTTTAGGCCATTCTTCCGAGGCCAAAACAATTTCTCTGGCTTTGTGCACAGGTCTGAATCTGCATTCCCCAAATGTCTGTACTGCCCACCGTTATCACTAAGCTGCCTGTGTCTAAAGGATTTGGGTTGTGTGCTAAAATAAGTAGTCTTCAAGCCACTGGTTGGAGTGGTGTGGGGAGCAGTCTTGTGTCTTTCAGATTTTTTGGACTACAACTCCCATAAGCCCCAGGATTGTGGGCGGTGTCATCTAAAACACCCTGAGGATATCAAGTACCTTTTCCTGGTTTGGAGTAGAGACCTTTGCCAATTATCAATGGATTGTCCATGCCTGCTTTGAACAAAAGTATCTTTTCCCTTTATGGTTTTTTCTATGTCTCTCTCATATCAAATTGCAGCCACTGGTCAGGATTCAAAGTGGGCACCTCCCTCTGTGGAGTCGAACTGAACCGCTAACTGTCCCTTGGCTGCATTGCCCACCGCTGAAGAGACTGGCCACCTTTCAATTAGAGAGCCGACGGCTAGTTTCTTCCACAGCAGGAGAAATGCTAGAGAAGCAACACACAGCGATCCCCGCTTGCGTGGGCCGCCTTGCCTTTGACCCACGCCCAGGTGCCCTTTGGTTTTACCGTTAGGAGGCAGTGGAATTTAATCTGGGCACAGTTGCTCAGTCTCAGTACCATCTGAGCAGCGTCGCTTCAAGGGGCCGGGTGCGCTTCCTTGGGGCCCTTCCTGCCAACGGAGAAGTCTGTGGTCACCGGGCCAGGCTCGCGCCATTGCAAGCTCTGGCTGGGGGAGCATGTCAGGTCCTCCCGCGAGATGTTCCACAACCACAGGCATTCTCAACGGCTGCAAAAGCCATTCGGTTCTAAAGCAGTTGGCCTTCGCAACTGCTACAGGACTTAGTCTGAGTTCTTGATCTGTGGCCAAAGCCGGGGCTGCGCTCCAGAAGCTCTGGCAGCGTTA